TCTTTTTGAAAGTTTTAGCAATCGGTGATATAATTACAGTGCAATCTCCGTAATTCGAGCTAATTGTTGCAAGAAGATGTTCGAATTATGGAATGTTTTCGGAAAAATCAAAAAATATTTTCAATATACAGCTGCTGGATTTTCAATCTTATTTAAATAACTTAATTTTGCCCACAGATGACTGATGCCATGTCCGAATCTAAAAAGAAATGTAGATAGTACAGTGTTGATTATTTGAAATTTGGATTCATTCCATCATTGCCGGACAAACAATCGCCTATGTGCCTTTTATGCAACAAAGTTTTGGGCAATGACGCTATGAAACCATCTAAACTGCAAGATCGTATGAGAAGATGCCACCCTGATAAAACAGAAAGATTTGAAATACTTTCAAACACTCAAAGATAAATTTCAGAAGAGACCTACACTGGACAGAATGTTCGCTTCGACGTCACAAAGAAATGATGATAGTTTGCGGGCGTCTTACAATATCTCGTTACTTATAGCAAAATCCGGAAAACTGCATACTATCGGAGAGAAGTTAATTTTGCCAGCCGTTGAAGAGGTTTTAAAAACTGTTTTACACAAACCTGCATCTGATATCATTAAAAGAATTCCCTTAAGCAACAATACTGTTGAAAGACGTATTGATGAAATGAGTTCTGATATTGAAAGCTTCTTATGTAATTATTTGCAAACGACCCATTTCTCTATACAACTGGACGAGTCAATTTTACCTGATAATGCAGCATTATTATTGGCATATGTTCGTTTTATTATGAATCAAGAAATCTACGAAGAACTGCTCTTCGCAAGAACTTTGATAACCGACACTAAAGATGAATCAATATTTCATGTTTTGAAGGATTACTTCATTGAAAAAGCGATTCCTTTATCAAATATAATATCAGTAGCTACAGCTGGAGCACCTGCCATGGTTGGACGTTATCCTGGATTTATAAGCTATTTAAAACAAAATGTGACAGGGGTGTTAGCAATACATTGCGTCATCCATCGAAAACATTTAGTTGCTAAAAATTTGAGTGTTAGATTGCATGAATCACTTCATTTAGTCATTGATGCAGTAAACCGAATCCGAAGCAACGCGTTGAATACGCGGTTATTTGCGCAGTTGTGTGAAGGAAATGACGAACACTTTTATCAATTACTCCTTCACACTGAAGTACGCTGGCTGTCGAAAGGCTTATGTTTGACAAGATTTTTTTCACTTTTTGAGACTATTTTTGAATTTCTGGATACTAAAGATAAAATTTTAAAAGAAAATTTAATGAAGAGGATTTGTTTACAAAATTTAATATGGTTAATTTGCAATTACAAGGCGACAGTTTAAATTTGATTAAAACAAAGTCCATCATATCAGCGTTTCTTGCCAGAGTTAAACTAATGAAGCAAAATATTGGACGGGGCGAATTTTCTCAGTTCCCCAATTTGTCACAGACAAGCTGCCAGGAAGACCACGTTTCAACTTACGTTCAACATTTAAATGCCCTCTATTCAGATTTTGAATCTAGGTTTGAGGATATTTTGACTATGGTAATACCACCGTGGATAATTAACCCATATGGTGACATAGAAGAAACGAATACAAGAGGAACTGACCGAACTAAGTGCAAACGAAGAACTTAAGGTTCAGTTTAAAAACGGATATCAGCAATTCTGGCTGCAAAACAACATATCCGTTACTTATCCCGTATTATGGAATATAGCGAGGAAATTTTTAATTTCCTTTCATCGTCATACCTAGTGGAAAGGGAGTTCAGCGCTGTTACCAATCTCCTAACGAAAAAAAGGAACAGACTGGACATCATTAGCCGAGGAGATTTAAGATTAACCCTTAAAAAATTGACGCCAAATGTTGATAATTTATTATTAAAGCATCAGGTTCATCCTTCTCACTAAAAATATTGACTTATTGCTTATGTTATTTTATTTATAGTTTATTTTATGTTTATTGGTGTCTGACCAATAAATGCCCGCATTGGGAATAAGTGCCCGCATTGATTCTTTTAAAGAACCCCCCTTTATAGAACATATTTTTTTTTAAATTATTCTGAAAATTCAAGGATAGGTACACACTAAAATTCGTTAATTTTTTGCCTATTTCTGGATAACTTAAACGTATAAGAAGCGGAATTTAATCAAACTAACAGTGAGATTATTGTAGAACATAAGTTTATGCTATAATTAATAAACGAACTCGCTTATTGTACTATTTTAAGTAAAAAACTTTTTTTTATTATTTTTCACTTTTTTTTATTTTATCCTTCTTATTTTTTTTCAATGCGGGCATTTTTTCCCAATGCGGGCACTTATTGGTTAGACACCTGTTTATTTAATGTTATGTATATTTTACATAACAGATACAAAATTTTATTTTGAGTAGTTTTAATTTAAATTCAATTAATAAATGTATAAATTAACATGTGTTTCTACTTTAAGTTTTTAACACTAAACTTCACTACAGTTAGAAATTTACAGGAAATCAATATCAGGTAAGTAGGGGGTCTACCCACCAGGGAAAAACATGGCAAGGGGTCTACGACACAATAAAGTTTGGGGAACTCTGATCTAGACTATAGAATTGAAACTGAGGGTTACTATAGAATCTGGAATCCTATATAAATAGGCACTAGGAATAGAAATCGCTGAGTCCTTCCTTGAACAAAAACGCTGCGGTGGACCAACTGAACTGAACTGAGTTTTGAAAATTTTGACGTTAGGCCTCTAAATGAAGATCGTACATGTAAGATGATGTTTTTGAGTCCATCTTAACCAGAAGTTGGAGGATATCTGGAATTATCTTCTAACAATATCACATACTGGATTAAATCTGGCTACTGTTTTCAATAGCATTAATAGCTTTGCCTCAGCAACAGGTGAAATTCACGCCCAGAACATACCTTTCTGGGTCTGGGTGCCATCTTGTAACATATTTTAAATGGCATGGGAGTCGGATGATGCATCATTTCAATGCCTTGCGAGTACTTTATAACCCTAGAACATGAAACCACTATCCTCAAAAATGGCGGGCATGCGGCTTTACATTGAATCGCTTATAACTCGACAAGTAATAATTAAAGGCTGTAGAAGGTATATTAGTCTTTTTGTTTTGTGAGGGTCTGCCTGAATGTGCAATAAAATATGAGAGATTCAGATTGAAAAAATTGATGTAGTGAACATTTTTTTAAACGGAATGTTCTATATTCTATTACATATTCGGATGTATGCTTCCAAGAAAAGAATATCGATACAACGTATTATATCTTTTTTATGATTGGTTGTTGAGTCAATGTACAAAGACTCTCATCTTTGACAGCCTGTCAATTCGCAATGATGGTGATTTTGTATTCTGGTGTTGTAAAGGAAGTATAACAATATTTAAAATATGGTACAATCGTGAAATTTTCAATTGCCGCTTTTACGCTAAAATGCACGCATCAATTTCATGATCCCGAATTTCAGAATGCTAATTTGACCCCTTTGAAAAATAAGTTAAGGGGACAGTTTTCAAAAGCACTGTATGTACTTTATATATTTTCAGAATATGGAAATACCGCAACATAAATAACATCATCCCCATAAGGCGTATTAGGAAAAAGCCTTCCAGATTTTCCGTGAAAGTAGCAGGACCATAAGTGCCGTGGAATTAGATCAGCCGCAGACATTCTGGAAATTCTATTCTGCAAGAGGATGGGACTAACGTTGCCGAGCTGCGTCCGCCTTTTGGCTTTTTCGTGGTGAAATTTGATTTAGAAAACAACGGGATACATTATTAGATTATAATCCATAATACAAAAATGGATCATTTTAGGTCATATAGTTACGTTCAAATTGTTTTTTGTAGTTCCATCTGTCCATTCAACCGCTCCCATACAATTAATGGACAGGGCGCCCCAACAAAGCGAAAAGTTGGCTTTATTTCAAAGCTGTAATCTAATGCTGCGACCTACTGAGGGTTTGGACTGAGAGGGACGTCACGGAGACTTTCTATTCTAGCGTGAGGAGATCAGCACGGGTATTATGTAAAATAACTATGAAACATCAAAAAAATCTATAAAATGGTATCTTGTAGACTAGACAGTTTTTAGGGTGCGAACAGTGATTCCACGTCTGCTCACTAGGATCGTTGTGAGCGTCCATGTATGAAGGACTAGCTCAACTACACGCATTGTTGTATGCATATGTTTTGTGAAGCCGAGTACTCGTAGTCTATAGTTTTCATCTCTGAGAAGAAAGTTTGTTAAATAGCAGGATTGCTCCTGGATGATTCTGAGTATTGGTCTGCATGTATATAAAATCAGTGATGTTTGCTGTCTGAGAAAACCATTACTGAATATGCTGTCAATGCAGTATATCTTTTAGCTGTGCCCTCGGCAATTTATTTGTGTTGTGCTTTCTGAAGAGAGGTTATGTTCAATGTTATAAATCACGAAAAACTTTGAGGAGAATTACAGGAAATCACCACCGCGCCCGCGATGCGTGTAATTACTGTTAGCATGTATATATGGCTTGTAATTCGACAGTGTGCAGTGAATATACTTATTTCTTATCTCTCTAATTTTTGAAATTCAGCATACGTAATTTACAAAATGAATAAGAAAAGGTGGATGCGAAACTAATTTATAGCTTTCAGTCTCAAGTAAGTGTATTTGAGACAAGAAACCAATGGAATTATCATTAACACGTATTACTAGCACACAAATTATGCACCTATGCGCTACCGTTTCCTTCTAGCTATAGTATACAACTTACAGCTTAGTGCTCCAATAATGCAGATTTTTCATCTTATCAGAGCCAAACATTGATACGAGGGATGTCTTTTAAGTTTTGCATATAGAAACATAGTAGGCCGCGCGGATCGAACGTCAGTACTGAATCTTAACCTCACTCGTTAGTAAACTTAAATTCAAAGTTTCACAACAATACGTGCAGTGTTCTCACTACAGTGAATTTTTAAGTGTCACCAAGTCATTAGAAAAATGGAACTCAACCGAGAACATTTTCGCGCCATAATTTATTACAACTTTCAGAGACAATTATCGCAACAAGAATGCCTTGTTGAGTTACTGTCTGTTTTCGGCAACGAAGCGCCACATCAGTCGACAATTTCCCGTTGGTATGGAGAATTCAAACGTGGACGGGTGAGTCTTAGCGACGATGCCAAAAACGGCAGTCACCCAGGAAAACGTCGATGCTGAGCGCAAACTCATCATTGTAGATAGACATGTGACATATCGCGAGATTGAGGCGTCCTTGAAGATCTCAAAGACCTCAATCCAAAATATTTTACATGAAGAATTAGGAGTAAGAAAATTAGTTTCTCGTTGGATACCCCACTTGTTGACTGAAGAGTAGCAAGCAGGCAGGGTTAATTGGTGTCAAAAAACGCTTGACGGTTTTAATTCCGGAAACTCAAAAAATGTGTACAGCATTGTTAGTGGTGATGAATCGTGGATTTACTGTTATGAACCAGAAAATAAACGACAGTCGGCTGTTTGGGTGTTCCAAGCTAAAGGAAAGCCAACAAAAGTCATCCGTTCTCGAAGTGTTTCGAAAAAGATGGTCGCGACATTTGTGTCAAAAGTGGGTCATATTCCTCTTAATGAGCAAAGAACTGTTACTGCGGATTGGTATACCACCATTTGTTTGCCAAAAGTCATCACCGAGCTTCGAAAAATCAACCCCGAAAGAAGAATCATCCTCCACCAAGACAATGCAAGCTCGCACACAGCCCAAAGAACAAGGCAGTATTTAACGGAAGAAAACTTGCAATTATTGGACCATCCTCCATATAGTCCCGATCTGAGTCCTAACGATTTCTTTAATTTCCCAAAAATTAAAAACAGACTGCGTGGTCAAAGGTTCCAGTCACCAGAAGAAGCAGCTGACGCACTCAAAAATGCCGTTTTTAATCTGCCAGCAAACGAGTGGAATAAGTGCTTCGAAAATTGGTTCGAGCGCATGCAGATGTGTATTAATCTTCGTGGAGAATACTTCGAAAAACAATAAAGTCATTTAAAACTGCCTACCGTGTTGTCTTATTTCCATATGCAAAACTTAAAAGACATCCCTCGTCACTGAAGCATCATGACGTTTAGGCAACACGTACAACTACAAAATGAGTTCACAACAAGTGTCCATCAGCTAGTGCTAAGTTAACATCTTGTAGAAAAACCCACATAATGTCACAAAAAACAATATAATGTCAAAAAACCGACATAATGTCACTTTTCAAGATACGTAATACCCGTGGGGTTCGAAGAACCTCAAATGCGATCTCAATGAGATATGAGGCAATCTAAGGAAATCCGAGATAATCCAAGGAGATCCAAGAGTATCTAAGAAGACTTTCTATTGAAGTAGGAGATTCGAGGCCCAAATAAGATTTTCTAGTAATCCAAGGAGGATGTGAAGAGATCCAAGGGGATCAGAAGCGAAAACATTGGCTGTTCTTGAGCATGCGGCTTGGTTCTGACGCCGTTATAGCCCGTGCTTGCTAATCTTACTGATTTTTCAGTAGATTTGTTGACTTCTATGTAATGATCATAAACGAGATATCAGGAAATCTGAGGGAATTCAGAGAACCAAAGAATGGCAGAAGATCAATTGCTCCAAAGAGGTGTCAGTGGTAGCCTCATATCATAATTAATAATGAGGTGTTCCAAGACACCTCTTTTGATGTACTCTTCCATCCTTTTGCTGGTCACAGACAGTATGACAAGCAACACAAAGGCTCATAAAACAAGATCCGCATAAAATGACACCTATATACTTATATTGGAAGTTCCCGTATGTCTTCTCGCTAAATGCGAGTAGAATTTTCCCTGTGGAATGTCATGCCCTCCGATTTCGGGTGGGAAGCAACTGTTTTGGGGCGCAAGCCTGAGGGCATAGCTTGATAAATGGACCGGTTTAATTTACTTCTGATCGTGATACAGCGTACACAGCGTTACAGCGTACAACCCGATCTGACATATTCCGCGGCGCGGCTATTACAAATTGGTAAAGTGCGCCATTTGTAACTTTGACTGATTCGTTCTTTGTAGATACGAGGGAGCGTTCATATTTCAAGTGTCCTTTGAAAGTCAGTTTTTCATCATACAGAGGCACGGCTTCGGGGTCGGCAATTTGGCGCATCATACATAAATCAAAATATTAATTCAGAAAAATCTCAGAGTTTTTTTTTACTTAAATTACTACAACTCTAGATTTTATATGTGTTTCTTAAAATAAATGCTTAATCATGTTTTTTCTAGATTTGACAATCAGGAAAAAGAGAATGCAAAGTTCTTAATCAAATTAGAAGATTCTAAAGTCTGATAAAAAACATAATTAAACATGCCTTTTAAGAAAATTATATACAAAGCCTTTCAGGAAGGTCCCCCTCACTTATTTTTTGATCGAGGCATGTTAGGGAGCTGAAATTCGGGATGCTGCACCTAACGCAAAAATAATAGTTGAACATTGCAGGATGGCGGCTGAACCCTATCTTGTAATATTTTCGAATAGAATAGAGGTCAGGTGATGCCTTATTTTGAAGCTCATCACGAATACTTTATAACCATAGAATATAAAATCACTATCGATCAAAATGGTGAACTGGCAGGATGTGCTAAGTTTAGCGCTCTTGGGCTTTGAATCATAATAACTCAACAACTACCCATCAAAACGTTATACTCATAGTATGGTATACCAATCTTCTTTTGGTTATAAGCCACTTAATGTATAAAACGATCAATTTTGGCAGCCTCTCAGATTCCTATTATGGAAGATAGTGATTTTATATTTTGTGGTGATAAAATACTCATAAGGAGCTTCATTCTATTTAAAAAATAGCCGCCATCTTGGAATTTTCATCTGTCTCTTTCACGCTAGAACATAGTATTTATGCATCAATTCCATAACCCAGAATTTCAGTTTTCAGTTTGATCCGTCAAAAAAAAGTTGGAGAGGACCTTTTTGAAAAGCACTGATGTTGCAATTATTAAGTTATCTTTTAAGATATTCTGAACATTGCACCTCAATATTTTAATATTGTGATTTACTAAAGGCACTCTACCATGACAGGAAGTTGAGCCAAATTGCCGACGCCTTTTACTTGCTGGTGAAGCTCACTAGAATTTCATATTCGGCTCTTAAGAGAAGTTCTGTGGACAACTCGCCTTTGAACATTATGTAGAATAGGTAAAGAGATCACTTTTCTTACAACCATGACCCACACATGTTCAAGGGGCGAATGGTCTGGAGATCTAGGAGGCCAAGGAAGGAGGTTGATTTGAGCGTTATGTAGGTAGTCCACTGTAGCTCTAGCAATACGAGAAGTTATGATCTTGTTGGAAAAATGAGTTTCTCAGTCATCGGGAGAAATGGCAGGAGATGTGGTTCCTGTTGCATCGTCATACCTCCTCTAATGAAAACTAGAGTTCATTTAGCTCTATCTTTTGTGGCGTCCCAAACAACGACAACGACAACAACAATTTAACGCCTTACATTATGTTTTCCTCTGCGGCAGCTTGTGACTCGTGCTCTTCATGAGGTATTCCTAAACATAACCGAAACCAAGAAAATTGGAATGTTGAATAGTATAACATTGCTTTAACTGATAATGCCTGTTTTGTTTATAATGTGTCATGGAGAGGTACGACTCAGAAGGCGTCGCGGAGAAAGGCGTAATGTGATGATTCCTCTTAGACGTCACGTGAACCATACTGCATATGGTTTGGGCCGCCATTAAATATGCTGCTGGGTCATCTGTAATGACTCTAGAGGAGGTTTCATGACTCAACTCTATATCCGGGAGATACTAAATCCTTATGATTTTACATTTCCCCGAGGGAAATATGTGACATGGTTTTTCGTGATGTACAAGTCATATAACATCCAAAAAACATATAATCTTATTCCCGAAATTCTTCGCGATTAGGCGTGGGAGGTAAAAATATGCTTGACATTCGCGCATTGGAAGAAACTATTCAAATCCTCTGTATTACCGTTCGAAGGGATCAGGATTTGATTTTCATTCAGGATGCCAATGGAATATGACCATAAACTTCCTGTCAAGGTGTCAACGTTGGATAAAAGTTATTTTCCTGCCATACGGAAGCCCAATCTCATGCTAAATTTTGTTCAGCAAGTTTTGCCACAATTCGTGAAAATATTCAAAATATAGTTTTTGGAGACAGAATATTTTTTTTGAAAAATAGCACGCTTCAGTTCTATATGTATAACGGCTGCCCTCGTATCACACGCGGCTATTACAAATCGGTGAAGCAGGACATTTGTATCTTTGACGGGCTCGTTCTTCGGAGATATAAATATCATTGTGCGATCACATTCGTAATTTTTCTTTGTTTGATTATCCTTGACAGTCGTGGCACCGACCGGCTACGTTTGATCATAAAGCTCTTACAGCTCTTTTGGTCTGCGTGGGTCATCTTACGAGAAATATCGCTCTTACAATATGAACGAAAATCCAGTGGTACTATTTTGAACAAGCAACTTCGGTTCACTAGAAAACAAAAGACACAACAGGTACATTTAAAAAAATACTAAACCAACTGCTCTCGTTGAACAGAACTTAATTAATTTAACTGTGCTGTCCAAGGACAACTCGAATATCAAACGATTTTAAGAAAGTCTGATATAACTAGTGTCACTCGCGCTGTCAAGACGAATCTACAGACAACATATTTGTCAAAATCCAAGTCGTTTGAGTTGTAGGCACGAAGACTAGATATTGGAAGTTAAACTGCATAAGAGATACATGTGTAAGCTTACGAAATATCTCAAACATATTTTTTGCATGCGAGTCGAACCCTGTAGCACACAAAACCTTTCCAGAAGGCTGCTTAGTGTCACTCAGCGCGTCAGCCCTTACGCCTGTTTACATTATACATTCTATTCCTTCTCTGGGTACTTGTTCCCAGGATAAACTTTCTTAAAGATACGGGCGCGGGTGGCAATGAAGTTCAATTATTGCGTGGAGGAGATCGCTTCTCAGACCAAGTAGTGCGCTTTGTGGACTTGATTACAGTGTTGATGTGCTATTGGGTGTAGTGTTTTGGTTACCTGAAAGGTGAGCAATCACTGAGTGTTTCCTTTATTCTACTGTACTGCATGGATCGATAACCATAATACTTTTATATTCGTGATCATGAATGTCTTAAGCCATGTTTATAAAGATCCTATACTTTTTATCTTCATAATTTAACTTAAGGCTTACGACTTGTTATTGAATATCCGGTGGGACGCCTCCAGATTCTGGGAGTTGTTATGGGACTTTCGGAGCCCGTTTGCTGGGTTGAGGTACTTATGTTACTTACTGCTCGGTTTCCTCTACCAGGGGAAACGTCGGAGCCCTTTGGATGTTGACACGGTGGCCTTTGGCCGAAGTGGTGTCCTTGGTCTGAATGACCGCTTAACTATCTTCTCTTGGCAATCGTTGAAGTCTGAATGTATCTCATGGCAGGATGTGTGAAGGGATTGTTACTTTAATGATAGTCATATTGCTCGGTTACCTCTGATTCAGGGGTAACGTCGGAGATTTGGGGTATTGACACAACGGCCCTTGGCCAGCGTGATATTCCTGTTCCTGGACTGTCTTTTTGTAACAATCGTTAAACTCAGCACGTCTGACCATACACCTAGCGACCAAAGAGTTAGATTGAGTCTGTGTGACGACTCCTATTAAGTCTGTGTGATGACTTAGTGACCAGTCTGTGTGATGACGGTCAGGACCAGTCTATGTGATGACGGTCAGGATCAGTCTGTGTGATGACGATCCCGGTTCCTGGACTGTCTTTTTGTAACAATCGTTAAGCTCAACACGTCTGACCATACACCTAGCGACGAAAGAGTTAGAGTTAGTCTGTGTGACAACTCCGAGTTAGTCTGTGTGACGACTCCTAGTCAGTCTGTGTTACGACTTAATGATCAGTCTGTGTGACGGTCAGGATTAGTCTGTGTGACGATCCCGTGATTCAGTCGATGACGAATCCGTAGTATTAGTT